CTGGGATTATAGGCACACACCATCTTGCCTGGCTAATTTTTGTATTTTTAGAAGAGAGGGGGTTTTGTCATGTTGCACAGGCTGGTTTTGAAATCCTGGCCCCAGGTGATCTGCCTGCCTTGGCCAAAGTGCTGGGATTACAAGTGTGAGCCACTGTACCTGATCATTTTCTTTTTCTTTCTTTTTCTTTTTTTAGACAGGCTTTTGCTCTGTTGCCCAGTTGGAGTGCAGTGGTACAATCATAGTTCACTGTAGCCTCAATCTCCCAGGTTCAAGCAATCCTTACACCTCAGCTTCCAAAGTAGCTGAGACTACAGGCACATGCCATCATGCCTGGCTAATTCTAAAACATGTCTAGTAGAGATTAGGTCTCACTGTGCTGCCCAGGATGGTCTCAAGCTCCTGAGCTCAAGCAATCCTCCCGCCTCAGCCTCCCAAAATGATGGGATTACATGAGTGAGGCACTGCACCCAGCCCAAAGTAAACTTTTAAAACAAGCTTACAACAATCTATAGACTTGAATATTTGAGATGGGACAAACCAATGACACAATGACGGAATGGAATTAAATGAGATTCTAAGATAAATCTGGTTCATGTAAGCTGTAAGGATGAAGCTACTATATATTTGATCATTTAAAGCTGATTAAAAAGAATTACCTGTTTATATTCGTTAATACAACTTTGGCAGCAAAATCTCTTCTGCTGACCTCCAATCACCAGGATGTTGTTTCCAGTACTCTTACTAGGCATGTACTCTCCACAGTGTTCACAGCAGTTCATTATTAGACCATTAGCCAATCTGTACTTATTAAAGCAATGGTTACTGCAGAGTTTATGTGTTACATTATTTACGCTGACTTCATGGCGAATCTAAAAGAAAAACCAGAATTCGTTAACTAAGATATATGAACCAGATTAGCATAGCAAGCAATGAGATAACTAGTTTAGCACAGCAAGCAATGAGATAACTAGTTTCTGTAACAGAAGCAAAGAATCCCTAATCATATCTCAGAGGAAGATATACCCAGGGAAAAGATTTTTTCTTTTTTTCTGAGATGGAGTCTCACTCTGTCACTCAGGCTGGAGTGCAGTGGCACAATCTCGGCTCACTACAACCTCTGCCTCCCAGATTCAAGCGATTCTCCTGCCTCACCCTCCCTCCCAAGTAGGTGGAATTACGGGTACCTGCCACCATGCCCGGCTAATTTTTTTATTTTTAGTAGAGATGGGGTTTCATCATGTTGGCCAGGCTGGTATCGAACTCCTGACCTCAAGTGATCTGCCCACCTCGGCCTCCCAACATGCTGGGATTACAGGCATGAGCCACCATGCCTTGCTGGTAAAAGATTTTTTAAAAACATATTTTATTTTTTCCTTTATTTGTAATTTCACTTTGATTTTACAAAAGAGGAAAAGATTAATAGGAAAGCAATACAATCAATAATAACTTCCCGAGAGACATTTAATAACAGATAATGAACTCTACTTTTGAGACAAGTTCTTACTGTTACCCTGGGCTGGAATTCCTGGGCTCAAGCAAGCCTTCCACTCATGCCCCCTGAGTAGCTCACATTACAGGCTCGCAGCACCACACCTGGCTTTGGTTTAGATTTTGACGTGACCCACTTAAAAGAAACGGGTCACAATCGTTTTTTTTTTTTTTTGATAGTGTCTCTTGCTCTATCATCCTGGCTGGAAAGCAGTGGTACAATCACAGCTCACTCCACCTCAAACTCCTGGACTCCAGTGATCGTCCTGTCTCAGCCTCCTAAGCAGTAGGGATTATATGTGTGAGTCACTCATCTCCAAGGATCAACAATTTTTAGTCAGTATTTTAAGTCAAGTTCACTGCCCTACAACATTTGTGGAGGGAGCTGAGGGAATCCATATGATCTGTATTCAGGATGGGGACTGTATAACTAGAAGCAGGGTAGTTCTCACGCTGGTAACTGCGATAAAATCATGTCCTTCGTATGCATGACTCAGGGTAACCAACACCAAATTTAGTTACCAAATACTTTATAAAGTGAGGACTGCCTGTATGCATGTTTCTTCTCTTCTAAGAAATGGGAAGACCGCAATATCACTTAATGTTAAGCAAACAGCATACATTCACTCCACTTGTTCCATGTGTTCTTGTACCAGGAACAAGTGTCGCTTCCTAATTTTAACTTTTAGATTCAGGGGATACATGTGCAGGTTTGTTAGATGGGTATGTTGTTTTTGTTTTTGTTTTTCTTTCTTTTTTTGAGACAGAGTCTTGCTCTATTGCCCAGGCTAGAGTACAGTGGCGCAATCTCGGATCACTGCAGCCTCCGCCTCCCTGGTTCAAGCGATTCTCCTGCTTCAGCCTCCTAAGTAGCTTACGCTACCATGCCCAGCTAATTTTTGTATTTTTAGTAGGGATGGGGTTTTGCCACGTTGGCCAGGTTGGTCTCAAATTCCTGACTTCAAGATATCCACCTGCCTCGGCCTCCCAAAGTGCTGGGATTACAGACGTGAGCCGCCACGTCCGGCCCCAAGGTAGTTTTCCAGCCCTTGACCCCCAACTCCTGAGACTACAGTTTTATTGAATGTCATCAGGAAGAACAAAACCCACCATAAAACAATTGCCTTGTTTATGAGCACAACTAATTCCATAGAAACAGATGTGTACTTTCGATGCTATGCAAATGGAATTTTATTTATAAAATATCCCATAGGATAGTTCTAACATATCCTTATTCTTCCTTTCAGCTTCATGTTATACATCCAGAACATGTGCATTATGTAGATGAAAGAGTACATAATAGTACTTAAAAGTTAAAATTATCACTGTTAGCCTAAACAACTTAGATATAAAAATCCAGACCTCTGCTAATTTACTACAAATTGTACATCTTGACTTATTAAAAACTCCTTTTTTAAGATTCCGGTTGTTTTCACAGGGAGACAAACAAGATGTACTACAAAATTCTTGGAAGGATCTGCTTGATTCTACTGGAAGAACAACATCAGCCTTCTTTGTAGATGCATCTCTGAAACAGAAGGTACAGACACACAATTTAAGAACACTGCATTTTAATACAAGTCAAATATACGAATAATAATTGCCATTTTTCATTTTCTTATGATTTAATACTAGAAATCAAGTATAACTTTGGATGCAGCAAATCCACTTTTGGCTTTATTGCCAAGAGTTCTTAAATGATATAGAACAAGAAGAGTCAGAGATAAAAATCTTTCGTAGCACAAGAACCTTGCCACAAGTTCTTAAGATTTTTAGATGCATTCAAAAATGCTGGTCATAGGTTGGGCACAGCAGCTCACACCTGTAATTCCAGCACTTTGGGAGGCCGAAGTGGGCAGATCACTTGAGGTCAGGAGTTCAAGACCAGCCTGGCCAACATGATGAAACCCTGTCTCTACTAAAAATACAAAAAATTAGCTGAGCGTGGTGGCGGGCACCTGTAATCACAGCTACTCGGGAGGCTGAGGCAGGAGAATCGCTTCAACCTGGGAGGTGGAGGTTGCAGTGAGTGGAAATCGTGCCACTGCACTCCAGCCTGGGCAACAGAGTGAGACTCCATCTCAAAAACAAACCAACAAACAAAAATGCTGGTAATAAATTCATAGAACTAAGGTGTAAGATGGGGAAGCAGGGGAGGCAAATGTAGTAGCAGGGAGGAGGGCAATTAATTTTCATACCTATGTTCCATTTTTCTGCCAAGAGTAAATACAGCACATACTAGTCCACGGCTTGGATATATTCTAGGAGCTCAAGCTCAATGAACTTGAAGACACTCCTGCAACAATTCTACCCATAAATCTATCCAGCTCTGCAATTATATTACTTATTTATACCATTAGTATTCGACTACATGAAGAAATGTTGAAAGGTACCGCTTACTTTTTACACATTACACTTCGTGTGTTTTGAGTACGTTTATGAGAAAAGGAAGAAAGGCAGGTGGTGGAACAAAAGAGGTGAGCTGATCCTTTCCGCTGATAAGCCGTCTGGCCCTTCTGTAAAGGTTTTCTGCAATTTGCACAAGTGATTTTAGCTGGTTTAGTGAGTTGGTGTTGGGCTGTAGGCTGGAAATTCTGCTTACGAAGTAAGGCCACTGGTGATAAAGAATCCACCCCTGGCTGTTTCTGATTACGGGGAAATGAAGCTGACTGGGAGATCCAAGAATCTTAAAAATGAAACAAGAAAAAAATCATGGAACAAATCAAAATGTACATCAGAAAAATAACTTACATTTTCATTTAAGAGTTTAAGAGACAGATGAGGCAGGCGTATAAACATGTGGTTAAGGCCAAACACTCTTGATGCACAATCCCAGGGCAACTATCCACTTTGTATCTCAAGTGAATGATACTCCACTGTGCCAACGATGATAATAAATGTTGGCGTCTGGAATTGTGTAATGTGGTAGCCATCAGCTCTTAAGTCAGACTCCAGGTTCAAATATCTACTGAGCGTAATAGATTATACAAATATACTAACT